TATCTTTATTTTTTTATTTGTTTATTTTTATGTGGTGCTGAGGATTGAACCCAGTGCCTCACACTTGCCAGGCAAGTGCTCTACCACTGAGCCACAACCCCAGCCCCCATCCCTAATCCTTTTAAAAATTTTTATTATATTTTTGGTCTTGGGATTGTAGCTTTACCACTGAGCTACATCCCCAGTCCTTTTTTTTTGTGATTGAGTGTTGCTAACTTGCTCAGGCTTTGAACTTGTGATCCTCCTGCGTTAGTCTCTCAAGTTGCTGGGATTACAGAAGTGCCCTGCCCCACCCCACTCCCCAACGGTTTGGAGGATTTGATGAGCTCCAAATATCATGAGGTTACTACTGTGAGTCAGAAGTAAAAAAGAAGTAGTAATAAGTGAGAGGGATGCTCGAACTAAGGATTATAGATATGGTGTAGTTATTGGGCATAATAAAACTAGGAGGATGTGCAGAGGATGGGGGAGTAGAAAAGTAAAACGGGATAGAAGGAAAGATTGCTCGCGGTGAGAAGAATTGACAGAGTGCTTGGTGGGTCATCCACATGGATACTGGGTGATGAGCAGAAGCTGAAAGGAAGACAAGGAGCTAACACTGAGGAAATATCTCCCAAAAGGTCAATATGTGGTAGTAACTAGGAGCAGTATTGAAAGCTATGGCTAGCCAAGAATGGTGGCTCCTGTCTGTAATCCCAGCTGCTGGGGAAGCTGAGGCAGGAGGATCACCAAGTGCCAGGTCTGCCTGGGCAGTTGAGCAAGACCCTGTTGACCCTGTTTCAAAATAAAATTTAAAAAAGCTGTGTGTGTGTGTGTGTGTGTGTGTGTGTGTGTGTGTGTTTCAATTGTAGTGTGCAAGGCCCTGGGTTCAATCTCCACCACACACACAAACACACACACACACAGCTTCTTTCTTTTTTGAACAAAGCTTACACACCCACTCCAGCCTAATGCAAATTTTTTATACAGTATTCCTATGAGTTTTCCAAGTAAAAATCAGTAATAGTGTGTTTGGAATCGGTAAATTTTCTCTAATGCTCAGCACGAGATAAGAATAGATAGTATGTACTGAACTTAACTTTCAAACAAAGGACATATGTCTTTTTGGGCAAGAATAGCTGACCACTCCTAAAGGTAAACAAGGAAGAAAGGAGACCTCTAATGCCTCTCTCCCAAAGAGCTGCTAAGGCCCTGGTTATTTGCTTTCACAGAAAAATTGACCTGGCATAGCCATTCAAATTTCTCACAGCAAATCACAGTGGCCTAGAGCCAACTCCTTCTACGCTCATTGGCCAGCTGGAAACTTCACCCCCCTCCATGCCTCCCGCCTCTCACCCCGGAGCCAATGGGAAAGATTTGTGGTTCGTAACGTAGTGTCATCAAATACCGTACAGGCAATTGGCTATTGCAGCAGTCGATAGAGGCGTAGGCGGGGCTGTGGCAAGCTGGCCTATATAAGAGGAGGACAAAGGCGGCGCGCCGCCTGTGTCATCCGCCATTTTGTGCGAAGCAAGGTGGCCTCCACGTTCCCCGAGCGTCTTCTTCGCTTCTGCCTCGACCGCCCCTTGATCACAGACATGTCTCGGGATCGGTTCCGGAGTCGCGGCGGTGGCGGTGGCGGTTTCCACCGTCGCGGAGGAGGCGGTGGCCGTGGCGGTCTCCACGATTTCCGCTCTCCGCCGCCCGGCATGGGCCTCAATCAGAACCGCGGCCCCATGGGCCCAGGCCCAGGCGGCCCTAAGCCCCCGATCCCGCCGCCGCCTCCGCACCAGCAGCAGCAGCAGCAGCAGCCGCCGCCGCAGCAGCAGCCGCCGCCACAGCAGCCGCCGCCGCATCAACAGCCGCCACCGCATCAGCCACCGCACCAGCAGCCGCCACCGCCGCCGCAGGATTCGTCCAAGCCCGTGGTTCCTCAGGGGCCCGGCCCCGCTACCGGAGTAGGCAGCGCGCCTCCGGCCTCCGGCTCTGCCCCGCCCGCTACTCCCCCGACCACTGGGGCCCCGCCGGGACCGGGCCCCACCCCGACCCCGCCGCCCGCCGTCACCTCCGCCCCACCGGGAGCGCCTCCGCCCGCGCCGCCGACCAGCGGCGTCCCGACCACTCCCCCCCAGGCCGGCGGCCCGCCACCTCCACCTGCGGGCGGCCCGGGCCCAGGGCCTAAGCAGGGCCCGGGACCCGGAGGCCCCAAAGGCGGCAAGCTGCCTGGAGGGCCGAAGCCCGGCGGCGGCCCGGGCCTGAGTGCTCCCGGGGGCCACCCCAAGCCGCCGCACCGAGGAGGCGGGGAGCCCCGTGGGGGCCGCCAGCACCACCCGCCCTACCACCAGCAGCACCACCAGGGTCCCCCGCCCGGCGGGCCCGGCGGCCGCAGCGAGGAGAAGATCTCCGACTCGGAGGTGAGTCTCCAGCAGCGACCCGTCGGTTCCCCTAAGATGGCGGCGCCCCCCACCCCCCCGTCGCCGCGCGAGCCTCCATTTTGTCGGCGGCCGGAAGGGCGCCTGCGCGCGGGGGCGGGGCGGCCCGGCGGGCGCGCGGAGTCGAGGTCTCTGTTCCGCGGGGAGATCGGCTGCCCGCGCGTCTGGTGCTGGTGATGAGCCTTGGATCCAGTGTAGGGCACGTCGGGAGGTGTAGAGTTGGAGAGAATCGGGCTACTGTCACGGTTTTTGTCTCCTACGATTTAGATAAAATCTAAATCGTAGGAGACAATTTTATGTTTCCTACGATTTAGGAAAAAACTGTCGGCATAATATATATGTATCAGTGTATATGTACGTGTTGGTATAGGGCTTCCATTTTCAGGAGCATTCTGGGTTGTTAGATACCCTTTTTAATGATAGGGCAGTGATTATGCCGGAAATCGCTCAGATATAGTACGACATAATTGCGGCTCTAGCGGACCAGAAAACCCTCGAAGAAAACATGCAGTTCAGAAAATGCAAGAATTTGTCATGGGTTTTCAATTTGCAGAGGTCACTGGTGTCTGAAAATTGATTTCCTTCTTTTCATTAGGGGTTTAAAGCTAACTTGTCTCTCTTGAGGAGGCCTGGAGAGAAAACCTACACACAGCGTTGTCGGTTATTTGTTGGGAATCTCCCCGCTGATATCACAGAAGATGAATTCAAAAGACTGTTTGCAAAATACGGAGAACCAGGAGAAGTTTTTATCAATAAAGGCAAAGGATTCGGATTTATTAAACTTGTGAGTATAATTTATTATATGCAGAATTAAAAGATGGGTTTTCTTTGCTTGTGTTTTTCGCAGAACGCAAAACCAGATAGAATAAATTGTTCTTTCAAAAAAATATTCTGTAGAGTGAGTAATTGTTGGTACCTAAGAGAAGAAAGGTGGTCGGGTAGGTAAGGTATTTAAGTATTACCCTTAGTGGTGTCCGGGAGGGCTACCTGAGGGTAACATTTGAACTGAGTTGGAAGAAGTAGAAATTTGGTTTATAACAGTTTGAGAATGGGCATTAGCCAGTTATGAAGCCATTAACGTGAATGTCTTAATATTGCAGGAATCTAGAGCCTTGGCTGAAATTGCCAAAGCTGAACTTGACGATACACCCATGAGAGGTAGACAGCTTCGGGTTCGCTTTGCCACACATGCTGCTGCCCTCTCTGTTCGTAATCTTTCACCTTATGTTTCCAATGAACTGTTGGAAGAAGCCTTTAGCCAGTTTGGTCCTATTGAAAGGGCTGTTGTAATTGTGGATGATCGTGGTAGATCTACAGGGAAAGGCATTGTTGAATTTGCTTCTAAACCAGCAGCAAGAAAAGCATTTGAACGATGCAGTGAAGGTGTTTTCCTACTGACAACGTAAGTTGTCTCTGGTTTATTCTAGTCATTTCTTATTTGTTACAACTTACAAGGATGTTCTATTAAAACTGGAACAAAGTTAAGATGAACCATTTTTGTTATTAGAACTCCTCGTCCAGTCATTGTGGAACCACTTGAACAATTAGATGATGAAGATGGTCTTCCTGAAAAACTTGCGCAGAAGAATCCAATGTATCAAAAGTAAGTTGAAAAGGAAACTTGCTCTAGTAATTTTTTCCAGTTTTGCTTAAAAGATGAAATTTGCGGGTGGGGTACTGGGGATATGAACCCAGGGGTGCTTTTATCTCTGAGTTGTGTTCCCAGCCCTATTTATTTTTTGTTTTGAGTCTGGGGTCTTGCTAAGTTATTTAGGGCCTTGCTAGGTTGCTGAGGCTGGCTTTTAAGTTTGGAAAGTTAGGTTTCAAAGCTGTCATTTAAATGACTGTTTTTAATATAGGTACTTTCACATGCAATCCTGTCATGTGCTTACAGTTGCATGAAATGTGTTTTCATGGATGGAAAATACAAGCCTGGGTAAGGAATTTGGCTAGAGGAAAACTTTAGGAAATGTGGAAGGCAGAATTTGTCTTCCAAATTTTGTTATTGTATCACTTTTTGTTTTTATTTTACATCTTAGTTTCTTACTCTTTATTAAATTGTTATAACTCACTGTTATGAGTAGGAAGAACAAAATAAGAGAATAAGGGGTGCAGGAAATAGAAAGAAGGATGAGGAAGTAGTTTTTTTTTTTTTTTTTAGTTGTTAATAGACCTTTTTTTATTTATATGTCGTGCTTGGAATTGAACCCAGTGCCTCACACATGCCAGGCAAGTGCGCTATCACTGAGCTCCAGCCCCAGCCCAAGGAAGTAGCTTTTAATCTTTGTTTTTAGCAAGTGAGAGGCTAGGGAAAAGATCGAAGTTTTTTTTTTTTTTTTTTTTTTTTTTTTTTTGCAGTGCTGGGGACCAGACCCAGTGTACATGTTGGGCAGATGCTCTACTACCAGCTGAGCGACTTCCCTAGTCCAAGATCTTTTTTTTTTTTTTGAAGTGGAACAAGTAATATTGCCTTTACAAATCCACAAATTGGTTCATGTTTATATATTGTGTTATCAGGGAGAGAGAAACGCCACCTCGCTTTGCTCAGCATGGCACATTTGAGTATGAATATTCTCAGAGGTGGAAGTCCTTGGATGAAATGGAAAAACAGCAAAGGGAACAAGTTGAAAAAAACATGAAGGATGCAAAAGACAAGTTGGAAAGTGAAATGGAAGATGCCTATCATGAGCATCAGGCAAATCTTTTGCGCCAAGGTAAAGGCCTTCCGAATTTTATTGGTAGGATCATACCAGGATCTTATTAATGTGATACCAAAATAATATTTTCTAATGTTCAGATCTGATGAGACGCCAGGAAGAATTAAGACGAATGGAAGAACTTCACAATCAAGAAATGCAGAAACGTAAAGAAATGCAATTGAGGTAAAATACTGATGATTCTTTGTTTTTATACTCATAGTCTGACATTTAGGAAACAGGGTACTTAATTTTTCAGGTGATATGTGTCAGTGCTCAAAATCAAATGTAAGGATATCAAGTTTTCTGTGTGTGTATATTACATTTTTTTTTTGTGCCACAATGTCTAGTGTTGTGCCTCTAAGCTCTGAGCCTCACTGTCTAGACCTTTTTGGGGAGTTTGTTTTTTGTTTGCTTATTTTTTTTTAATATTTATTTTTTAGTTGGACACAATACCTTTATTTGTTTTTATGTGGTGCTGAGGATTGAACCCAGGGCCTCTCATGTGCTAGGCGGATGCTCTACTACTAAGCCACAACCCCAGCCCATGTTTGCTTATTTTTTTGAATGGATTTTTTTAAGGTTTAGATGGATGCAGAATACCTTATTTTTATGCAGTGCTGAGGAACGAACCAACCCAGTGCCTCACACATACTGGGCAGGCACTCTGACACTGAGCCACAACCCCAACCCTTTATGTATGTATGTATGTACGTGTCTATTTTACTGTGTCCTTACACCATCTAAGGCTCTTAGACATATTATTACCAGCTTTTCTTCAAATTAAATTTTAAAAAGAAGAGGTTGATACTTTGGCTTACGCTTGATTGATGTTTTCAGGCAAGAGGAGGAACGACGTAGAAGGGAGGAAGAGATGATGATTCGCCAACGTGAGATGGAAGAACAAATGAGACGCCAAAGAGAAGAAAGTTATAGCCGAATGGGCTACATGGATCCAGTAAGTTAGGTTTTGTTGGCATTCTAATTGGGAGTTGTTCATAGAACTTGTAGGTACCTAAGGTGAAATTTGACTCAGTTGAAAAAAAAATCACACAGTATAGTCATTTTCTACCTTAAAATGTTGGCCATGGGCAGTGCCACATATCTATAATCCCAGTGGCTTGGGAGACTGAGGCAGGAGTATCATGAGTTCAAAGCCAGCCATAACAGTGAGGCTGTAAGGCACTCAGTGAGATCCTATCTCTAAATAAAATACAAAACAGGGCTGGGGAATGTGGCTCAGTGGTCAAGTGCCCCTGAGTTCATTACCCGGTAAGCCAGCCCCCCCCCCCAAGTAGTTACTTATAAAATATACATAAATATATTTTTTGATTTGGCTGATCTAGTGATTACTTTTTTTTTTTAAACAACTGTACTATGTTTGATTGCCATGGTTCTTGTTTTTCCTGTTCTTTGTATGGGCCAGAAGATGATTGAACTGGAAGGTTATGGTGGTGTTGTTTTTTTTTAGTTCTTTTGATAATAGAAAATAGCTAGTTTTCAGGCTTGGTTTTTTTTTTTTTTTTAATACTTGAAAGAAAAATGCCTTCTGAACTTCAGTTTTTAAGTCTTAAACATTCTTAATGTGCTTATTGCATAGGTGAAATAATTTTTTTTTCTTTTAGAGAGAAAGAGACATGAGAATGGGTGGTGGAGGAGCAATGAACATGGGAGGTAAGCATGAAAATTTAAGTCAACTTTATTACCAGAGAGCAGTGTTGTGGTGGAATCCTAATCACTCTTTCTGTTTCCTAGATCCTTATGGTTCAGGAGGCCAGAAATTTCCACCTCTAGGTGGTGGTGGTGGCATAGGTTATGAAGCTAATCCTGGCGTTCCACCAGCAACTATGAGTGGTTCCATGATGGGAAGCGACATGGTAATGTATCCTGTGGGACGTAGTACAAAGGAAATTCTCATTTTCATGACTTAATGTGTGTGTTTTTTTTTTGTTGTTGTTTTTGTTTTGTTTTTAAGTAGGTGACTGGACCTCTTTTAGTTCTCCCTATCATGTAAATATATAATATTGAGGAATACTTTGGCAACACAGAAGAACTCTTATGTGGTAACCTGAACATGGTTGCCAATGAGGAGTCAATGCTGTTAGTAGTATGTGGAGTTATCTTTGGCAATAAGTACATGTAGGTGTTTTCCACTTTTTTGCTTGTGCACTTTTGAACCCCAGTGCATGGCAAATCCAAATTCTGTGTTAGGTAATGTATGATTATTCTATACACTCAATTGAGGGTAATCACATGGCAAACTGTCATTCTTTAAGTTGGTATTTGCCATAAATGGGAATCAGCCTTGTAGTTTGTAGCTTTAGGCATGTTTTAGTGATATGTAGAACTTTGACCTATATTTGGTGTGGCTTCTATCCCATGAAAGAGAATTGTTTAGTGTTTTGACTCGTCGTTTCCCACCTGTTGGGTCTGTTTGTAGGTACACCTTCTAAAATAAACTGACATCTCTATTTTGCTACAGGGTAGCAAAAGTCAACAATAAATTTAAGCATACTAATTGTGTGCATTTGATCTCAACCTTCTTGATGTTATTATGTTAGCTATATGGATAGTCTGTCAGATGCTTTAGAACAGTCAAGTAAATTGATGAGTGGCTGTATTAGGGCTTTATAAATCCTCAGTTCTGAATTTTGGTGGGCTTAGAAAAGAGTACATTTTCATAGCTGATTGAATCAGATTTAGTTTTCCTATGGTCTTGGCAAAGAAGCTGCTGCAGTATGTGGCTCACATAATTTTTATCAATAGAAACTTTAGAATTTAATGAGACCTTATCTACTTAAAATATAAAATATATCTAAAGCTTTTTGACAAAGTTACAACTCTCAATTGATGGTTGTGTTAAATGTACTATTAGTTTTATCTAGCTAAATTTTAAAAAACTGGGTAATGTTTTGGTATTTAAGCTTCATAAAAACAGTTTAGGTACATATTAAATTTGTAGACTCAAATTTGATATGATGTTCCCACAGTTCAGGTTCTATGTGGCTAAGTACTAGAATTTTCAGCTGTTCTAATAACAATCTTAAACCCCCCCAAATCTTCATCTCTTTGAGATAAAGTATAATATGTAAAAACCAAACACAATTTTTAAAGAATTTTTCAAGGGGATTTCCCAAGTAGTTTTACAGTATTGGGGGAGAAGGTGAAATTATATATATAGGCACAGAGCAGCTAAACCGTAATAAATCATTTTAGGTCTTTTCTTTGGAATAAAACTGAGTAAGTGGGCTATCTTAAATGGAATTTAAGACAGAATAGACTGCTATGCTTACCTACCTATAGAGTCTTGCTGTCTGGGTACATAACATTTCAAGTTGAGAAGTACCTAAAATCTACTCACTGCTTTATTGCAGTCACTTTAGCTTGGTGTTAAACTGTTTGTGTGGAGCCTTTTAAAATTTCTAAAGCATGGATTCATAGCAAGGTTTCAGTGTACTTTTTAAAGACCTCAGGGAAAAGTTGGGCTGTTAGTGGGCTGTATGTTTGCAACAATGCAGAATAGTACTGTGAAAGTGAACATAATTGTCTCTGGTTTTATAGTGATGGCTCTGAAGGTGGTGTACCTGTGAGAATATGGCAACACAAGTTTTTGATCAAGTTACTGTGCCGGTTAAGTGACTAAATCTATTAGTTTTTTTATGCTTTTTCTTTTTGTAGTCTGGTAGCATTTTATTAAAACTTTCAACCTTTTAAGATTTCTGCAACTTAGCAGATGTGTCTTATCTTGAAAAGCACAAGGTTTCTTAAGCAGCACATGCCACTGACTGGTGAGTAGGTCTTGTCACTTCATTGAGTGAATTGACTCTGTCTGGTTGGGCTTGTTAGGCTTACTTGGAGAGTAAATTTTCTGTTCATACCCTGAAAGTGAGAGTTTGCAAGTTTTCATTGGATTAATCTGATGTGAAATTTCTTAGAACGCATTTTGGAATGGATTTTCACATCTGCACTAATTCTTAAATTTTTTAGCACTACAGGGAAGATCTGTTCTTTGAAACAGGTGTATGAGAATGGCTCAAGTGGGAACATACCACAAGGCATGTATTATCGTAAACTAATTTTCAAATTACCCTTTTTTCCTTTCTATGTTCCCGGTACCTGTGGATCGACTCATTGGTGATTGTATCGACGAACGTTGACTACGGAACCTTCTAAAATATTTACTTAACACACATGGACATCAACTACATATAATGAACTGTTGATTACTGTTCCAATAGCGTACTGAGCGCTTTGGGCAGGGAGGTGCGGGGCCTGTGGGTGGACAGGGTCCTAGAGGAATGGGCCCTGGAACTCCAGCAGGATATGGTAGAGGGAGAGAAGAATATGAAGGCCCAAACAAAAAACCCCGATTTTAGATGTGATATCTAGGCTTTCATTCCAGTTTGTTTTTGTCTTTTCTTGTTTAGATACCACTTTTAAATTCTTGCATTTTAGTAAGAAAGCTACCTTTTTATGGATGTTAGCAGTTTATTGACCTAATATTTGTAAATGGTCTGTTTGGGCAGGTAAAATTATGTAATGCAGTGTTTGAAACAGGAGAAAAGTTTTTTCTTTTTGCTTTTTCTTTTCTCTTTCCTTTTTCTTTTTTTTTCCATTTTTTTTAACTGTATAATGTCCCTCAAGTTAATGGCAGTGTACCTTGTGCCACCGAATTTCCAAAGTGTACCGATTTTTTTTTTACTGTGCTTCAAATAAATAGAAAAATAGTTATAATACTGATCTTCAACTTTGCCATTCATGCTTCTATGCACATTAGGCTAGGTATTCCACTTTGAAAGCATGAGAGTGTTGAGGCCTTTGAATGGCAGGCATATGCCATTTCTGGGAAATGTATGTGGAGGCTAAGTATTGCTTTCTACAAGTAATTGCCCCCTTGTTTTAAAAAGAAGAAATGCAGATTTGAAGTAGTTCACGATTGTTTGGCATTATAGGAAGCAAGGTGGTGCTAAGTATTTTTAAATGGTTATGTAAGCAAAGCTGAACTGTAAATCTTCATTCAGGAATGTGTATTAAGATTATGGAATGGGTATAAGACTTGGTAGGGGGAGAAAGTGGGTTTGGTTAATGGATCTTTTATGGCCCTATGATCTATCCTTGGAAGTTTTTGAAAAAAGTGGAAAGATCATTTTGTCGCATTTCCCCTATTCTTGTTTTTAAAGAACAACAAATCCCAAGCCCTACAAATGGCTTGTATTGAACTTTTACATTTGAATTAAAGATTGTTAAACATAAGCCTTTTCATGTATTACTTCAAGTGATTTATAAAGCTGGGGCTTAGTTTGAAGAATTCAACTTGAAAAAGTAAAGTAAGGTTTAGTTAACTGTAAAATGGGTTTAGTTCTATTTACATTCATAGTCTTTTTAACTTTTACACCTTGTGCTACTTCTGTTGGGAAAAATCTATAGGACTATAAAGATCTTGGTTTTCTTCTTAAGAGCTAGTGGTGACTTTTAATAACAAATAGGGTTGCAGATAACCATCCTTATAAATTTGTTCACCTGTTTTTAGATAGTTGCTTTTTGATGTAGCACTAAATCTCAGTGACTTGCTCATGCTACACAGTACAAATACCCCTTCCTTCCACCATAAAGCTTTGGAATGTTTCGATGGTGTTGTCAGTTAATTGTCAACTTCATTGAATTTCCTTCCATTAGGAAAAGACTTTTTGATTCAATATTAAAGTAGATTGTTTACTGTTGTCTGTCAGTACAGTGGGAGCTTGATTTCCCAGTGCAAATATGTTAGAGGAACAATTTTTAACAGTAGGTAAAGTAATTGAATGGTTTAGCTTTGTTCTTAGCTATGTTTCCATTCAACTCTACATTATAGAACTTTGGAATATCTTCATCCTTTTCACCTCTGTTCTTGGGGCTAATTGGCAAAAGAAAAATTCTAAATCAAACTTTTTATTACCATGCTGAAGTTTAGTATTGTTCCTTGAGTACAAAAGGAGACCTATTGTTGAAACAACTGAGTATTTTCTGCATAGGAAAACAGGATAATTATCTAAGAAAAACACTGAAGTGTAAAAAGCATGTCACCAAATTCTGGTTGTAGGGCTGACAGGTACATGGTGTGTTAATTAAGGGAGCGAATCTCCTTAGAAAATGTGCTAATTTTATTCACTGAAAACATTTGGAAATGGATAGTTCTTTTACCAAGGAGGAAGTTTTGTCCCAAGTCATTAATGGGTGATGCACACATGAGATTTTGTGTATAGAAACAAGGGTGTTGGTTTGAAAGTAGTCCATTACCATTTGAATTGTATAGTAGGGGACTCTATAATGATAAGAAAGTTAGGGGTGTTCATGGGACACCCACGAGGGTGAACTTGAATGTATGTGGGTGGGGGCTGGAGGGGAAATGGGAAAATCTGCCTATAAAATTAATGTTTCAGTTTATTTTTCAGATTACATGCCTTTCTTTATAAGGGATGCTGGCACAGACCCCTAAAATAAGCTTTTGGTAGTACTATACCTTTGAAGAGTGGTGAAGGATGCTAATGAATAATCTCCTGAAAGTTGTGGCTTTTGATAGCCTACTAAGGGCTGTAGAATTGCTAAATGTTGTTTAGCAAATAATGTTGCTGAGTTTCAACTGAACATTTGACTTATCATGGAAACTGCAGTGTACCAAGGGTTGTAAAGCTACTCAAATGGACTTTCAATAAGTCTTGCAATGTAAATGATAGTTTTTTAGCCTAATGTGAACTTAAATCATCTTAATGAGTAGTTTTCTAAAAGTGAATGATGAAACTTGGGGTGGGAAATGGAAGGTAATAATTTTGGAAGTATTAGCCATTTTTCTCATTTAAAGAAATATCCTGCCCCTATTTTCCTCCTCTTCCCTTTCTCTCATAATTTTTAAGAGGAACACTTCGTTTTTGAACCTTATGTCTCCAAATCTTTAAAAACTGCATTCTCTTGGAAGATGCTAGTGTATTTCATAGGTGTCTATATAAACTTAACCCATTGGCTCACGTTACTTAGTGAAAAACAATCCTTTTTGCCTAGAACATTAAACTCCTAAGAATATAAACCCCACCACTCTTTTTAGATGTGTTATATCACTGATAAAAACAAACAACAATTTGGGAAATTGTAATGTTACGCCTGTGCAATTTTTATAAGTGGCATATTATGGCAGAAAAAAATTTTAGATACTTGGCTTGGGCAAGCCACTAAGTTGTGGCGGAATGTTTTGTGGTGTTCTTGGACTGCAATTATGCACTATTAAAGTAGTGGCCTGCTACATAACTGCATTTAGCCAGCATTTCTGCAGTGCGTAACTGTGAGGAACGTAGTACCGCAAATGGCAATGGACATTAGGACCCGGATGTAGTATTCCTGCTTGCTCCAAGATTCTCATTGCCGACTGCATACAGGTAGGTAACAAGCAATATAATCTAACTTGGTGACTTGCTATGTACTTTTATTCCGTGGGCATTCTGACATCACATTTCTGACAATGAAATTACAGTGCAGCACCTAACACTTGTATGATAAAGCTAGCTTATAGCAAAACTGTGTGGGTCTGGGGTTAGAGCTGTAATTTGTTAGGCAGAATTCAGTGCTGTTGCAGTTCTCAGATAAAAAGTGCAAACTTGATTCTTGGTATATCTGACTCAGTTGTGTGGTTTCCTATAGTTGCATTGTAAATGAAGAGAACATGGAACACATCAGTGGTGTGGGGAAGAGGGAACCAAAACCATACTTGGGAAGGGAAGTAGGGTGCTTTTAGCACCTTGACGTGGACCATATAGCATGGATCCATATGGCATGTGATAATTAGTCTCTGTTGTAGCATACTGACCTGCTCAAAGGTCAGCAATATAAGTAATTTCATTATGCAATCTTGGTAATTATTCTGCAAGTTGAGTGAACTCAGACTAAACTGCAGGGTTTTTTTTGGTAATGGGTTTCATGGGAACACCTTTGTTACTAACTTGGGCTTAGATGGGAATCTAACGTGAATAGTTCAAGTTATGTGACTTGTTTAAATATGTTTATACTCTAAACCTGGGGGAAAGTGGTGTGAAATATTGACTTGATTATAGTTGAATACATTTTGGGAATCATTCCCAATCATAAAACTTCGTCGTTTTCTGTAGAGTGACTGCATTTGTTCAGAGTAGCTTTTTGAACTTGGTTCCCTTAGCTTTAGGGATGTGATGTTACAGTCCAAAATGTTTAGGTACAAGAAAACATAAGTCTTCAAAAGCACCTTCTTTGTTGCTTAGCTTTGCATCGACTGTTGTTCCAGACCTCAATCCAACTTAACTCTGGTCTCTGGTTTTTAGCTAGTATGCATGAGAAACAGCTTTTAATGCTTTCTGCTCTGTAACTGGAAAGTTTGGTTTACTTTGCATAATTGCCGGTGAAAACTCTTCACAACTATGAGAATTTTCTTTCATTTGTCTCAAGAAAAATGGCTTGCTCTTTGGCAAGTAAGTCACAGGGTGGGGACAGATTTGTACTCTACAGATTTGTAGTTCATTCAAGCAAACAACTTCTGATTTTCCTGTTAGATAAAAGAGCAACTGGTGACTAGTTTAGTTTCTTCGTATTAATACAATGCAGATTAAACAATTTTCAGTATTAGTGACATGAGTACCACTAAAACTGCATAGAACCCTCATGGGGGATTTCCTGTGTAATAATCCATTAAATCGGTGGCCCGCTTGCTGCCGTGGTTTAGTGACTGGGTGTTCAGAACTAAAAGCTCAGGTTTATTTCTTAGCAGACAGTAACAATGTTCAGAGAACTACTTGGTATAATATGGGTTTAAGGAACATCATTGGGGTGGGGGTTAATTTTGCTTTGTTCTGCTTACTTCAGAATTAATCGGCTTTTGCACTTCAGAAAAGAAACCATTGACAAGTCTATTCTTACTAGTTTTAATTTGTATGTAGCTATGAATTGTGACTTTTTGAAAAAGCACTCAATCAAAAAGCTGGGAATTAAGTGGGTTTCAGTAATAACGCTCTATACCGAGGTGCTTGCATTGTATTTCATAATCTTTTTTTCTTGTAACAAACAAACCAAAATTACTTTTTAATGAGAACACTCTTTGAGTTCAGAGGTGTGATGCCAGAATGCATTTTCGTACTGTTAGGCCCTTGGAACAGATACCGGTGCTTTCTGAAAGATCAAAGAAATGCAATGGGTACTCTTCATGCAAGGTTGCAAACCTACAAAGAACGCATAATAGTCTTCATTTTCCTAATAAAAGGGATGCGTGTGACTAGTTTTGGACTTTTAACATTAATGGGGGTTGCATGTCTCCTATTGTTAATCATTGTCAGCTGCAGTGACAAGATCTACAGTCCTGCATTATTTACTGCCTTTCCCTTAATGATTCTGGACAGGTTTTAGAGAGCTGGGGTGTTTGTTCTGGGCCTTTACTTGGTTTTGGCTTTAGCTGATAATGTTTCAGTGCTGTCAGCTAGTGCAGTTCTCAAATGGCTGCCTATTAGGGAAAGAATTAGAGGATTTGACTGCTCCTAATCATCTGTCATTGCTGCTAGATAATGATTGGCAATTTTTAAGACTCAACTGTGGAAATCTCACAGTTGCTGGTAAACCATCAACCATAAAATGTTGCTTTTGAACACCAGTGCTGAAAAGTTTTTTTTTTTTTTTTTTTAAGGTGAAAGGGGGGCTGGACGTAGAATAGGACAGGAATAATCTGGAGAATGGGGAAGAATGCAAAACGATATAGTATCCCTTATGGATGGTACATGTGCAACAGGGAATTATATTTCATATCCTGTGGCAGTAATGATATAGGGAAGAAGAAAAACCTGGAACTTGAATTAGGCTGAGCTTTGTTTTGTGCACTGTGGCCCTGCCAGGCATATAGTGTGAAGGTGAATGTCTTCTCCCTCAGAAAACCTTGGGTTCCTTGCTGTCCCAGTAAGGCATAGCTTCCTTGCCCTAACTTAAAACTCAGTGAGGACTTGGAGGGGAAAGAAGAGGCAAATACATAGGATTGCAGGGTAACAACTGCAGTGTTGTGTACTGTGGGAAGTGGGTAAGGCACTCTTGGAGGACTCCTGCTGAAGGTGGTTAGCCCACCTGAGAATGAAAGGCATACTTGAATGGGGAGCAGGGTATGTGCTTTCATATGAAAAGAGAGCTGATAAAATACTGGGTGAGGTGAACGTTGTCACATACCTTCACATAAGGGATAGTATATTTTGGGTTGCAGTCAAACTTCATTGTGCTCAGACTGGTGAAAATAGGAGTTAGACTTTTGCATTTTAAAAGAAGATACAGTTTTCATTCTAATTCTGGTGTCTACTTAGTACTTACACAAAAAATAATTTTAGATTTTTTTCCCCATGAAGTTTCTTCCTATTTTTTTTATGCTGTAACTTACCCCAATCTTTGTCTCTGGAATTTTACTCTTTAAATTTTGAAGTTAACTAGCGTTTTCAAGCCTTTATTTTATACCCTTGTCTTTTATATTAACTTTTTCTTATTATTCTTTAGGTAAGAATGGTTGATGTTGGCTGATATTGGAATGTTCATTCACTTGAAGTAAGTGTCCTTTGGAACCTTAACCTCTAGTGGATTTGGGGCTTGATTTATCTTCATTGGTTAAAATAACCAGTGAAATATGGGAGAGGGTGAGACTTGTTCTGTTTATATTGTCTATTTTGAACATTGTGTGAGTACTGGGGGTGTGTCTCAGTAGTGCAGTTCTTGCCTAACATGTGAGAAGCTCAGGGTTTGATCTCTAGCACTGAAGGGGGTTGGTGGGATATGATAAAGTAGAATATTTATTATAAAAGTAGGAAAATTTTAAAAAGATACATGCTGGGCTGGGGTTGTGGCTCAGTTGGTAGAGTGCTTGCCTAGCATGAGTGAGGCACTGGGTTCGATTCTCAGCACCATATATAATAAATAAAGGTCAATTAACAACTAAAAAAAAATTTTAAAAAAAGATACATGCTTATAAAATACCAAATGATTACCAAAAGAGCTTGAATTGATGGGTAAATATTTTTCATAAAATCTCCATAAACTTTGATTTATGTAGTAGATGGAAGAATTAGTAGGAAGAGGGACAATTCCATGATTACCTGGGAAGAAAGTGTAAGAAAATAATTTTGGTATGGGGCAGGTTTTTGCTATTTGTTTGTGTCTGAATAAAGTTTACATGATACACCCAGGTGCAGTGATACTCACTTGTAATCCGAACTTCTTTGGAGCTTGAGACAGGAGGATGGTGGGCTCAAGGCCAGCCTGAGCAACATCTAAAGACCCTGTCTCAAAAAATGACTGGGAAATCTATGTAGCTCAGTAGTATAGCATTTGCTTAGCATGTGTAAGGTTTTGTGAGTACAATCCATGGAATCCCTTGCCCACACAAAAATAAAATGTATGAACTACTTAGAAATTAATATGGCAAATGTTATTTTTAGAAGTTAATGTGGCAAATGTTATTTTTAGAAGTTAATGTGGCAAATGTTATTTTTAGAAGTTAATGTGGCAAATATTATTTTTAATCTGTATTAATTGTAGGTGGATCAGATATTTGTTCTCCAGACATTGACAGCATGGGCCAACCAAGAAGGAAAACCACAAGTTGTTTGACAAAGTGTGTAGGTAAGTTGAATGATTCTTACTATCTTGGGTGCTACTGAAAAAAAAAAAAAAAAACTCATGTTTGTGATTAATACTACATTCCTTGATTTAAATGTTAGGAAACTCAGTTGGTATTGGTGTTTATTTAAAAATAAATGACTTCATAAATCAGAATTTGTCTTGAATTAATCAGATCTTTTAATTGCAGGATCAAGAGAGCTGTGTCCACAAAACCAATGAGGAAGCATATAAGGAGGAATGATGGACAACTTATTTGCCATTAATAAAGTCATTTTTGAAAAATTGGATTGTGCTTTTATTTTATGTAGCATTCTTTTTTGCTTGGGGGAGGTACCAGGGATTGAACTCAGGGGGACCCGGACCACTGAGACATATCTCTAACCCTATTTTGTATTTTATTAGAGGAAGGGTCTCACCGAGTTGCTTATTGGCACCTTGCTAACTTGTCTGTCTCTGCCTCTAGATTCACTGGGATTACAAGTGTGCCCCAACCTGCCTGGTTTAAGTAGGATTTTTGTTGGATTTTCCTCACTGAGCTCTAACTCTAGCCCCTGGAACCACTTTTTAAAATCTTTTTATTTTGGTACCAGGAATTGAATCCAGGGGTGCTTAATCTCAGCACATCCCCATCCCTTTTGATATGGCTAGATTGTCAAGGCAGACTTTATACTCGTGATCCTCCTGCCTCAGCCTCCTAGCCAGCCCTCTGGGATTACAGGCATGCCCCCACCATGTTCAACTATAGAGCCACTTTTGATTTCATGATTACTAGCCTAATTTTATGGTCCCTTACAGTCCAAAACTTGATTTGGCCATCAATATTTTAAATCCTCTTATGTAATTTTTATTCCTAAAATTTACTTTTATTAGCAGTGCCCCTTTTTGATTGGTTTCAGGCATAAGAGTATTGTGAATGCAGAAGTATGCACAGTATATACAGAAGAAATACTGGATTGTTATTGGGTACTATTGCTTAATAAATTAATAACCATCTGCCAGGTATTTTCATGTGGTTTGAGATGCAATTTCTCCGAAATGAATCTGAATTTGATAAGTAGTGTGATGTGGGCAATTTCTCAGAACGCAGTTAAGGGAAAAAGATTAAAGCCTGCTTGATGAATAAAATAGGAAGCCCAGTCATCTGCCCACTTATTATAGGCTAAGCTGTTCACGGGCTATTTAACACCACTGGTAGCATTTATCAGATGAGGCTAATTGGTAGTTCTGTTTCAAAGGCACAGGAGTTCAGAAGTCTGTTCCAGCTATGAGACTAATACCCGTATTTTCCTGCTCATAGTTCATGCTCTTCTGCATGGCATCTTTTTCAAATAGCTGGAGGTCAGCTACCCCAAATCAGCTTCAGTTTTGGTTTTGTTTCCCTGTGGATTTGTCAGGGAAAAAGCAATGTGCTGGTTAATGGTCTTATGGGGTTAAACCAATGTGCCTTCTGCCAGTGTGTTGTAGCTGTAAAATAAAGGTGCCACCCTTCATTACAGAACATAATGGATTTAAAGCATTTGTCTGCCCGAGGCTGAAAGTACATTATTAAAAGTAGTCAAAAGTTCACAGGCAACTGACATTATACCATGTAATGGGAAGATGACTGCCAGGTTTTATTTTATTTTTTTTTAATATTTTTTTAGTTCTTGGCGGACACAACATCTTTGTATGTGGTGCCGAGGATCGAACCTGGGCCAGGTGAGTGTGCTACTGCTTGAGCCACATCCCCAGCTCCCAGGTTTTTTATTTATTTTTGCTGAGGAGCGAACTCAGGGCCTCGCATGCACTAGGTGAGCATTCTACCACTGAGCCACAACCCCAGCCCTGACTGCCAGGTTTTTGTATTGTTTCCAAGGGACACTACCACTGTGGTACATCCCCAAATCTTAAAGGTTGACCCGAGGTCTAAATGTGAGACTATCTCAGCCTCCCAAATCACTGGAATGACAGGCATGCATTACCATGTTCATCTGATTCATCAGTTTTGATAGGAAAATTTTTCAATTTTAAAAATTCAGGCTATGTAGTCCATAGGGAAACTTTAGTTACAAAATTAATAACCAAAAGGAATGGGGGCCTCAGTAAAGGCCATGTGTAGTTAACCTCATAACCTCAAATAATTGGATTCAACACAAGAATCCGTGCCCAGGAGGGCTATTTTAGTTGGCATAATACCTAATTCCGATGTAGTTTTTTTGGTACAGAACGGGGAATTTAAATCAAGGATGTTCTACTACTGAGCTATATCCAACACTTTTGATTGAGAGTGAAAGAGACTTGAGAATGAAAAAGACTGAAGAAAGAAATGTTATTTGTGGGTTGAAAGAACATTAAGGTAATATTTTCCATGCTAATCGACAGCCAAGCATATTTCTTAAATTCATCTGTGATTCTCATGGAATTTTAAGGGCTAATTTTAATAGCCCTTATTTGAAGACGTCCTGAATTCAAAAACTACAAAACTTAGTAGAATTTATCACCTGGAGTTTGGCAGAGGATTTTTATGTGATACCAAGGGCATGAACAAAATAGAGAAAAAATGAATGTTACCAAAATTAAAAAGAACACTATCCAAAGAAAGGGGGGCTGGAGATGTAGCACAGCAATAGTCTTGCCTAACATGCCTTAGGCCCTGGGTTCAATCCCCAGCATCACAAAATGAAGGGACACCATCTTACCCTGATCACTTAAAGATCAAAAATGGGAAGGGAGAGAAGATGGCCAAAGGATATGGATTTCAGCGAAAATAAGTTTTAATAAGGAGATTCATTGTATAATAATATTGACTAATAATAGATGTATTCTTGAAAATTGCTTGGGTTTTTTTTGGTTATTTGTACTGGGTTTGGTCCTGGGGCAGTCTACTGCTGAGCTACATTCCCAGCCCTTTTTAAAAATCTTGTCCCACTAAGTTGCTTAGGGCCTTTCTAAATTGTGGAGGCTAGCCTTGAATTTAAGAGACAGTGGGGTGCAGTGGTGCAGGCCTATAATCAGAAGTTCAGGAGGCTGAGGCAGGAGGATCTCAAGATTGAGGCCAGCCTCCACAACTTAACAGGACCTTGTCTCCAAAAGGGTTGAGGATGTAGTTTTTTGGTATAGCCTCCTGGGTTCAATCCACAGCACTGTCAAAAAAAGAAAAATAGGGCTGGGACTGTAGCCAAGTGGCAGAGCACTTGCCTAGCATGAGTGAGGCACTGCAATCCTTAGCATCACATTAAAAATAAACAAAATAGGGGCTGGGATTGTGGCTCAGTGGTAGAGCGCTTGCTTCACATGTATGAAGCACTGGGTTTGATCCTCAGCATCACATATCTACAACACATCTACAACTAATATATATTTAAAAAAATAAAGGCATGCTGTTCATCTAAAATTACAAAAATATATTTTTTAAAAAGTGTTCTCAACAAGAAGAGTATATGAGGTAATGGCATCTGCTAGTTTAAGGTAGCCATTCCACAACAATACGTATATCCAAAAAAAGTACATGATAAATATATGCACTTTTTTTTGTCAATTACAAACAGTTTTATAATGCAAAAACTCACAAAATGGGAGAAAATATTTGCAAATCATATCTGGTGGAGCAATTCTACCTAGAATATGTGAAAAAGGACTCAACCAGATACATCATCAGGAAAGTTATACAAATGGCTAACAAACAGGCGAGTCGATGCTCAGCATCCTTAGGGAAATG